GGCCGCTGAGAACCTTGGGGGGGGGTGCCTGTGAGCTTTTTCAATGTGTGTCTTGTCATTGTACACCGTACATTCAACAAAAACCGTTAACGAAACATAACAACTTTTGATTCTTTTTTCTTTCTACTTTCTTTGTTCTTTTTTTCTCCATTTTTTTCGCATGGGGGGCGACCAGTATTTCCAACTTTGCACGTTTAGATCGAACATCTTCACGCTCGTCTACATGGACTCTACCGACATAACGTACTCTTCATCGAGAATACGGGTGATTTCCAACTGGTAATCAGAGATCTGAACGCTTCGCTTGGTCCTCTAGTGCCAGTAAACATTGGAGGGATACCATACCTCAATCAGGAAATATCATGGTCTGTTTTTTTTTCAAAAGAGCTAAGTAAGAATTAACGCTAAGCATTTGAATTACCTCCGATATTTTTACTCTAGCTCATTCATTATAGTACCATCTGGCACACTGAAGACAAGGTCGAAGTAACCGGAGGTATTCTGCGATGGCTGGCCAAGAAACGACTGAGGGACACGATGAAGTGAGTATTAGACCTTTCACATTAGTCATATCTTATTCTTTGCGACTTTTCGACGTTCTTCTGTTAGTCACATTCGAGTCAATGACCGAAACACCTCTTCAACATTCTACTTACTGAGAATTTTAAGTGAATTTCATTATTCGCGTCGAATTTCGGTTTTGTCTGCACTCTCCCATCTACCTGGAGTTCTATGACCACAGTGACCTCACATATCCCAGCTTTTCACGCCGAATGGATGTTTGCGTTCAGCCCACTTGTCCATCGCATAGCAAAAACACCATTCCCTGGCTCGCCTTTACTTCGGAGTTTTCAATTTTTAGCCACCGCATCTATTCTTTCTAGACCATTGACGTTATTCCGACGCCGTTGCTAGGTCGCGCTGTTCTTTGTTGGCAATTCGCTCATTCTCTTGTTCAGGAGTCCTGCTGTCCGTGGTCTTCTAATTTCAGTGAGGTCCTTCTTGACACATCGCCTCCACCTTTTCTTCGGGGCCTCTCGTGCGCCGCTGCCTGTGCTCGAAAGTCAAAGTCGTCTCGCCATATCAGATTTCTTATTGTTCGCCTCTGAGCACTGACCGGTAACCTATCTTTAGTCGTTTGCTCGTCCATCCACTTCAGCTGGATTGGAGCTGTCTTGCTGTAACCGTGCCGACGTATCTTCGTTTACTGACATCTATCTAATCGTGTCCAGCCGTAGGCCCTCCCACATCCTCTATTCCTGTCTGCGTGGTTAGTTGTTGCCTTTCATGCTTCTTGCATATGGGCCAGCATTCCCTGCCGTAGAGCATCGCCGGCCGCACCACTGTCCTATACACCTTGCTTTTAAGGGTTCTGGAGCATCGCCGATCGCAGAGGATACAGGTAAGACTCCCTCCACTTCATCCAAGCCGCATTTACTCGAGACTTTACTGCCTAGTCCGCACGACAACCATCAGGCGCCTAGATCGCTTACCCGGTGTTGTTAGTTTATCGGAAGTCTCCACCTTACCGTGGATATGTTTCTATGAGATTCCGCTATTGGACTCGGTTCTACACCAACATGAACCCACTACTCACAACCGTCTCGCTATCCCTGCCTATATTTTTTGGCTCTAATGATATTTATTAGTGAAATATCTTTATAACTTCCTCGAAGAAAGCTGTACACTCATCCTCGAGGACGGTCCTTTCAATGTGTGAGGTGAATGAGTCTGTATGCTGTAGCGTGTCATCTGTTCTTCACTCTAATAAGTTCACGGGTAGGTGTCACTATTCTTCACTCAAAAGTTCACTGGCATGAGGCTGGAGGAGGCGGTCATGGAGCGTACCCAAAGGTGTCGCTTACACTATGTGCAGATTTATGCATCGATTACTCAAGATCTTTGTCGGCGATAAACACGGTTCAGCTTCAGAGAACTGTCAGGAATAAACAGCGCCACTAACACAGTAGTCGCCTCAGTGAAGTGCTTTAAAGCGAGAAGATGTACGCGCTCTTTTATGCCTGTTGCAGTGCGGCAGCGCAGGCGGAGATATCGAGAACGGCCCCACCCATATGGCCGCTACAACCCAGTCCCGTTCCCGTCCACTTCTGTCCGGACGAAGAGGCATTCTGACCGGACGAAGAGGCACGCTACTTCAGCAAATGCGGAACCACTAACCTCTACAAATGGAACGTCAGCAGAGTCCACGCAGTGCGATTGTGCGATTATCCGCTTCGACGTAAGAGCTATCATTATACTGGCAAATGGTAAATAACAGATCCATTCTTGACTATACTGATAACACCATGTTCGTTCATTCAGTAGTCGTTAAGCATGATGCATGTCCACTTAGATTGCAATCTTGAGCTTCCGAAGCCAAGCAGAGGTAGCCCCGTGTAATGCTTCTTTGAGGGATCAGAAGCACTCATAAAAGATGCTTTACATCCCAGGAGTGCAGTCTAAGAGGGTATGCTGCATGATGCTTCTCATAATGTCCGACTTCCGGATCGATGGCAGATGTTCATTGGCAGGGGTTACATGTAACCTCTGCAAACTTTCTTAGCCCTCTGCCCCTTATTCCGAGGAAAATAAAAAAAGATGACCTTTCGAGTCACTGTTTTTACTCCTCTCAATGGCTGGAATTTTCCAGATGATGCGCGTCATTATTCTTCATTTATCAAGAATTGCAGTGATGTTTCTAAGAATGTTCGGCTGTTCTTATAGACTACATTGGCGGTAAGCGAGCCCTAGGCAATGAACGAATCGGTGGGCTGTGCGAGTGCCGATCCCAGATCTCATCCTTCCACTAAGCGCGCTGTAGGCGGCCCCACTTGCTTCTGCACTCTCCTCTGTTAGAAATCTACATTAAAGACAAGCTGTACACTCACCTCCGTGGATCTTCTTCCTTTTGGGTGAATGTGTCCGCAGCTTCAATAGCGTGCCACTTTCTCCGGTCAAAAGTGCACAGGAACAGCCCCTTAAGGGGTATGATAGTCGTCTGCATCCTCTGCCATGCTGCACGGCCAGCCACACGGCTAACTACAACCAAGGGCGCTACTTGCCTCGCTCCTGGTTGATATTTTCCGCTAAGAATGGTTCTGCTGCCAGACTTTGGTACCAGCGCATGGGCTGCACAAAGAGGATAGCAAGACGAATGAAGAACTCTGAGAATAGATACGGCAGGAAGAACTCTGAGAATAGATACGGCACCAGGGTATCATATCCTGCCCCACCAGCCCTGTTCCCATGATTTTTGAGCGTAGAAAAGTGGCACGCTACTGTAGCTGCGGACCCGTTCACCTCGCACATAAAAAGGACCACCCTCAGAGGTGAGTGCACAGTTTGTCGTCAAATAGAACTGGATCCCAAATTCTGTTGGGTCAACTCGATAAACAAAGAAGTGAGACCCCAGCAAAACTGTCCAGTCTGATGTTACCGTCATCTGGTTCCTACAGAAGCGGATACAAGAAAATCGAAAGCATCAATTACTCTTTTTTCCGGAGTACAAGCCGCAATCAGTTAGCAGTTCGCATAAGCGCACGCGACATCGCGCAGGAAATTGCGCGAGAACTTCAGTGACACCTGCAGCAGTTTTTGCCCCAAGTGCTTTTTTTGCCATGCTGATTGACATGTGAATTTATTTCACTCCAAATCTTACTTCCCGGCTATTTCTACGAAATTCATCAACGTCATGAAATCAGTCACTGGCAAAACCATTACTAGCTGAAGACAGACGACCTGTTGTTAGGCGCTGTTCGGCGACGGGGGGAGGGGGACATTCTGCACTTTTGCAGCTTCAGTAGTTCCGGTTTACAAGTCTCACTCTGGTGAACCTGTGAACTCTTGTGTAGCTGGAGCAAGCTCGTCCACCACATGATAAAACCTGTCAACGCGAGCTCCGCGATAAAAGGTCTCGAGGATAGCTGCTTTGCCAATTATGAAAACCCAGGCTGATAGAGTAATTCTCCGCAAAGAGAAAACGTAGGCAATTGAAGCGGTTGCTCCAAAACGAACATATAACAAGAATCGCTCGCCTCACAGTTACAGCCTTCCCTGCGGGGTCGGTGCTTGGCGGAGCGCCCTAGCTCAAGTTATTACGCTCTATCACATCTCGCAGTAGTTGATATCATCCAGTGCAAAAAAAGAATACAAAAAGAAAACAACAAAAACGCAGAGGAAAAACTCTGGGAAGGAAAAAGGAATTTTATCAACACGGTGTCTGAATTTGTGATTACGGTAGCGCGCCTTTTGTGCGTCGTGGTTTTGCATCACGAAAAGACTCTGCGCCCTCACTCCTCCCGTGTTTCTTTTAACCGCGTTTCACTCTCGCGAATATGCGGTTGGAGTTGTAATGATAATACTCCCAATGAGTGAACTGTAATGAAGGAGAGCCAGATTATCCAGGGGCATTAGCAATGCCCGCCGCCCCAACTAAGAACAAGTGAGTGGCCTCCGTCGGAGGACATCTAGCAAGTAAAGGCGGTCCGACTGAGGAGGAGTTAGAACTAGCACTTTGAGCGGCTATAGCAGCCTCCACGCTCACAATAGAGTCGCGAAAGGTGAACAGTCTTCTAGCTTGGAGGCTAGACTACTTGCACAGCAAAGGCGACCACGAGCCACTTTGATCGCGGGGCTCTTCAGCTCTCGTGAGGCTCCTCTCTCAATGGCTCGATGGGAAGTGGCAAAAAAACAAAATCCCTCTCCCTCCCCGGACTGCTTCGCGTTGTTTATTTGATGACCCGAACATTACTATTAGTAGAGCAATTAATAATGTACCGCCATAGGACTAAAATAGCATATTTTCGCGCGAAACACTCGTGGTTTTCAGGCGAACGTGCGGCTTATACATGTGTGCGGCTTATATCTCACAAAAATAGACTAAATGCATGCAAAACATAAAAATAAGCTTAATATTCAGAGAAGATCTGGAGGGTATCTTATGCGATAGCCTTGTTGAAGTTCTTGATAAGAAAATACGCAAAACATTGGCTGGACTGAATATGGTGATGCCAATCAATGGAGGTTGGTTTTCGTTTGGAATCTCGACCTACTGACCTACACTATTACAGCCAAATTCAGCTACTTCTATGAGCTACATGCTGGTTGGCCAGCCGCTACTTCTGCCGTACGGTGCTGTCCGAACCTACCATCAAGGCATCACGGCGACAACTCATCCAGGAGTCAAATTCGTGCCCACACCAGTCGATTCTAATCATCACGTAATTTATCACATTCACGAAGCGCTACTCTCGGAAGCAGTACAGTCAATATGCAGTCGGGGATACATGGACGGGTAAGTTACAAAAGCAGTGTCAAGCTCTTGTCGCCCTTGCCAGCCAAATGGATTCGGTCAGCAGGCAAACTGGGTAGTCAGTACGTCAGCTCAATTTCACCGCTTCGCACGCGACCGCTCACTGCTCCTCGTAGTTCCTTCATTTGCTTCCTGATAAATCACTCAACAAAAAAAGGAAATACTGGCACTTGTTTTCGGAGGACGGACAAGACAATCGTATTTTGTCCCGTGGCCGCGCGCGCGGCGTATCCTGCAACGATGGGCGGCGTCTTATTGATATGCATCAACTTGTCGATTGTAGCAGCGAAAATCATTAGAATTCAAGCGGAGAAAAGACTCCATGATGGACGATTCGAATTTTCCTATTGCTCCTATATTCAAACCAGGGCACGCCCTGCCGCCAAAGATTTCAGGATTTGCAGAAAATACGACCCCTCCCCCACAATTTCGTCCCCTACTACGGCTTCCTTCCTCATCCTACCCAATCTTCATAACTTTCAAAAGCTTTTCCCCTTTTTCCGAAATTTCCCAAAGATTTCGCAATCCTTTTTCCCGAAATTCTTTAAAGGCAAAGTCCGCGATCATACCATCACAGATAGTGGATTAGGAGTTCGCATATAGACGACAAGGTTCTGAGTAGCTCGAAAGTGAAAAAAAGAGGTAAAAACATGCCACTGCCCTAGATAGAACCCCATTTCGATCCCAGTTTGTACGTGCCCATTAACTCCATCTCCAACACTACGCCCTCATCCGCACAGCTATTCCCCGATAAGAACTCTACGACCGTACAAGTGACGATTTTCATGCTTTTTCGTCCTGCAGCTTCGTTTTTCACTGAAAGGCGGGCCTTGAGGCGGAGTCTGGAGGCGGAGTCACTGGAAAAAAGGAGGCGTCACTGAACCTATATTGCGCTACAGCGCCCCTCCCTTAGAATTTTTGCCGCGAAACCGGTACAAGGTTGTTCGTCGCGGACCACACTAACCTCCTGACGCCATATTTTCAACTTCTATACCTGATCGCGGGCCGTGCCTTTGAGAGGGCGCAGAGGGGTTGGAGGGAGGGAAGGAAGGGGGGGGGGGCTTAAGAACCAGTAAATTGTGAAGAACTGCGATAACCGGAAAATTCTTTCACAGCGTCACAACAGGCGGATTTCCCTCGAACGGAAATACGACCCCTATCTCTCTCTTCCAACGACGAGCGAGTACGACTCCCCCCTTCCAGCGACCGATCACCACCCTCCGCTGGGGATTCCCCAACGTAGGGCGAGCCCTGTGAAAACTAATGCTGATGAGCGTTTGAAGAACAAAAAGCATGGCGCAACCACAACAGAACATATCGAGCAATGAAAGCTCATCCATTGTAATGTCTTTCATTGCAGGAACATCACAGTGGACGACGAGATGGTCCACGTAGTCTGTCTCAGTGCAGCAATTTCCGTAAAAAATATGGAAGGTATGGGTGAACGAACTGCATGCGATGCTTTTTGGCGATGAGTCGATGCGATTATTGATTGATTCTTTTTCAGCTCTGAATACAGCCAACATCATGCTGGCTCTCATATTGACTTTCGAAGACGGGCGCGAAAGGCTTCTCTCGAAAAACTACAGCGTTTCAATTCTCCATAGGTAATTTTTTCATCGTTGCCTTCTCGCTCGTAGTTGCCCCTGCATAATTAGAAGCAAAGAAAAACAAAAATTGGGAAAGGAATAACCTTCAGATAGCTCGATGATCCGTTCGCGCCGTTAGCGCAGCGAATCATCAATTGTATAGCAATCCCGAAAGGCTAAAATTCCCTGTGTTCCAGGTGTTGCGCGGACTTTTCAGGCTGTTAAATAGCCCTGTGGGATACGTTTTCTAGCATGTGTTTGGGGGGCGACAAAAAAGCTCTGTTAAGTTTATTTGTAAAGTATTTTTCCCTAAAAGTAGCCAATTCATGGAACATTCATGCTCTAGATGCAATGCCCGCAGACAGACAATTTGCTGAAATACTGATATAGCTAAGGGCCATTTCGGTGTCCGTTCGTGACCGCATCCTTGAATATCAGCGAAATGCAAAATTTACATCAAGTGATTCGCATCAAAACGAGCGAATTGTTGCAAACGAGTGGCGCCAAATGCGCCATCACGCAAAAACATGAATGTCATGTTGCGTGATAGAAGGTTAGTGAAGTAACCTCTAAGTATTTAAATTCCAAGTGAAGTTATGCAGTAAGAAAGATTGGCGACTGAAACGCCTGCCACGTGTCCAGCGTGACACACCATTGTGTGTCGCCAGTCTCGCATTGAAAAAGGCCGTGGTCACCCGTGAATGCCACGCGAAAGGCGTGGTCCGGGGCGTGTTAAAGACATATTCGGGAATTGGAACACGTCGGTAGTGGGTCCAAATTTGAAGCTGTAGATATTGTTCGAATTACTAACGAAGAAAAAAAACAGACTGTCGAGAAAGTGTTGAATAAGGCCCTGTGTTTCTGATTGATGTCGGGGGTCAAAAGACAAAAAGCAAGACCTATAACACAGAAAATTCATAAAACCCATGAGGTGAACCACGTAACTCCTAGCCAGAAATACGAACCCCCCCCCCTCCCAACGACGACCAAATACGACCACCCCTCCAAAACGTCCGCAAAGCGAGAAAAATCAACTATAAAAATAAATTTTTCCTGCAACAAAACACCCGCCCATAAGGAACCCAACTCAATGCTGTGCTCTGCAAAACGACAGGGGGGGGGTGTGTGAGCTGCGGGGCGCTGGGCGGCAGCCAGGACGGTCTTTTCCACCCAGAAGACGCCTTTTGACCATTTTGAGCACCGCTGCTGCTGGGGAAATCTGGCGCTTTCTGTACTCCGAGCGGTCCATCAAGCGACACATTATTTGCAGGGCACCCACTGCATTTCCTAGTCCTAGTTGACCTAAGAACACACATCGGTCACCTCTGCGAGTGAGTCCTGAATGCGTATGGTCATCCCTCACGCTCAGTTTCGCCCGGCGAGACTAAGCGCTGTGCAGCACACCACTGGGTGCAAGTAGCCAGTCGTGGGTGGGTTCTATTTCAAAGATGTAGGGCACATCGTTACATGGTGATCGCTATTGAGCCGCTAAAGTAGCGCTGGCTCCGCGAGTCGGCTGGACCAGAGTTTTTCTACTTGCATCTAAAGAAGCGTGTTCTTCAAGAGCATCAAGCATTACATTACCTCTTGGAAACTGAAGCGTGTGATCCTTTTGCGGAAGCTTCACGCGCACAAGAGAGACGGAAACATTCTGGCCTCATATCGCTTCTCCTGAACCTTTTGTAGTTGTGATACTTTTTGAATTTTTCATCTAATCTATGAACAAACTATTACTATTGCTAACTATTTCAGCAGTAACCTGGCAATTCTTTTCCGACTGAAGTCAGAAATCGTGAATATTAACGATCACTTCACCTCCAGGTACAATGATCAGGTAGCTTTCGAAGCAATTATTTATTCCTTTCACCTGTCCAGGCCTAGTTAAGGCTGAAACGGGCTGAATAGGGTCACATCCAATAGCACTTTCCAGAACCAAGTTAATACGTACTCCTTTCAGATTTTCTCGATCATTTCTGAAGTGTTGCGCTCACACGTATATCTGCCGTTACCTGTACTGCTGGCCGCCAGACCAAGCTGCGACCGAGTGAATTCAGGCTCCTGGCCAGATCGAATAATTTTCGCCACGGATTTCGTCTTCAAAGGAGGATGAGCAGATGAAATACAGTTGTTGATGTGATCATTTGTGTACATAACTAATATTGTTAGAAATGAATCAACCAGCAACTGTACTTGGCACAGTACAATTAAAGCGTCTCTTGATTAATATGGCATCGGTATGCTAAGGCAAAAATAAACCGTATAAAAGATTAAAAAGGTGAAGTCTAGCCAACATGATGAGATCTGTGTTCATACTTTGGCGGCAGCGTCTCACCAGTTTTTTTGAATCCATCAGCGTTTCGAACGTCCGTCAGCGCTAGCGACTAGGAAAGTGTAGATATCGATCTAGTGAACGGCAGCATCTGCCATTGTGTGCCAGCGTCCGTCAGCATCTCGAGGTACTGACAATAAGAAAGTATGGATATCGATCTAGGTTCCACCATCCACCACCAGCGTCCAGGAGTACGGTGTTGTGTGAAGCACATGCGGTGCGGTTGCACACATCACAATTTTGCGACGCCTAATCCAGCTGTCTTCTCCCTCTACTTCCCATACAATACCAGTAGTCTGTTACCCTCCCACTTCCCACACTTTATATTCCTGACCGCTGGTGGTAGATGCTGAATCGATATCGGTAATTCCCTCGTCCCTCCAGACGCTGATGGACGCTGGTGAATGCTCCATTCGCTAGAACGATATCTATATTTCGCTATTAGCTTACACTGACGGACGCTCGAAACGCTGAGGGTCACTGGTGGACGTTGGTGGTCGGTGGTGGAAGCCTCCGCCAAGTATGAACGAAAACCGCGAAATGCTCCCAAGAAAATTCCGTATCGAGCCACGCTTCTTCCATATGTACTCGAACCAGTCCCAAAATACACCGCCACTCGGCACTATTTTCACACGGTGTATCCCAGTTCTGCACTATCTTGATCTCTCGTTCAAAGCGCAATACGAAAGAAACAGAGAGAACAAGATGTAGTTTGATCATCGTCATCGCGCGTATACGAGCACTGGAACAAAAATGGAAAGGAAAGCAAAAGAAATTGGAAAATATCGACATAATCAAATCCTATGCAATATTTTGAGGTCATACGAGCATCCCATGGATCCAGAGGATAGTTTGTATTGAGAGAGTGATTTCAGCAAATGAAGAACACTCCGTATCCCGGAGATGGGGTAGGCGTGGCGGCGTACCTCATCTGAACTTGGCAGCAGCTGAGCCTTAGGTAAGACACTGCCGTTTCGTGACAGTTGTAATCATACCTTCACCGGAGACTAGTATTATAAAACGGCAGTTGTCTCAAATAGAAGTAAACGACGAAGAAGACACCCTATGTTCAAATCAAGTACGCTGCCACGCCCACCGCATCTCCGAGATGTGAAGTTCAGTTCCCAGGTCCTGTGTGACGCTTTGAGACCAGTACAATCACCATAATGAGAAGTACGGCAAAAGCAGGCGAAGGTCGTGTATCTGATCTCTGATAAGGTCAGAAAAATCGATCCATCCATAATGAAACCGACTCTGCCCAAATGTATTCATCCCTTTTTTTTCTGATATTTCTTCAGTGAAAACTTTTCTCGACGGATCTT